TAAGATGAGATCTGGTCTCGTACAGTGGATGRATTCATAGATTATAAGTGTTGGACATAAAGCCACACAGCACGTAAGTGAAAGCTGCACAACTGGAACTGTGTGGCAGGAATGTGGCTGACTGCTATGGAAGTGTCTCCCCAGCCTGCAGTAAAAGCCCTTGTCAAGGCACTGCTGGTGATGTGCAGTTGCCTGGTAAATGTAAATACATAAACAAAAACATAAAGAAATATGCCTTATTTCCTTCTGCCCTTCTACTCAGAAGCACAGAGAGAACTCAATCTTATGCTATGGATCACACACCTACAAAACTTCTCCTTGAAGCAAAAAAAGGCTAAAGCCAGTACAGCTTTTTTGGCACACCTATAACATAAACACTGCCTTTCCTTTTGGGAGCTAAGCCTTACATGCCAAATTTTAAATCCAACTGAAATTTTGCAATCACTGTTAACTGTGAAAATGCTGATGCAGCATTCATATCAACAGTGTCTTGGCAATGCTCTGAACTAATGTTTGTTCTCCTCTTGTACTGTACTCTGGCACTAGGAAACTACTCCCCACACAGACACACCTATTACGTTAAACACATGCAGTGTGAGCCTCGGGAATGCCACAACAGGAACTAGGGAGGCCCAAATGGACTTTCCAGATCAAGAGAGAAGAGATGCTATTCAGGGATTAAAGGACAAACATTCAGATTACAGCCACCCATCAATACTGGAGACAGTCCTTTCCCTTCCTCCTCCTACAGTCTGCACGTCACTTGACAGGCTTAAGATCACTGTGCCCAAAAAAACCCACAGGTTGTATAATTGAGCTTCATCCCAGTTCAAACAAAAAAAAAAAATCCATGCCAGTGTGTTTGAGGACCTCACTGACAGAATCCTTTTTATCTCAAGTATGCAAGCTACAGAGAAGAGTCGTGAGGTGAGGGAAGACAGTAGAAGGTAGCAATCACATCAGACACAAGCAATTTTAGTTACTGAYCTTCCAAAAAGTCTACTCTCAAAGCTGCAAGGAAATATCAAGACAGGGCCTCTTTAAAAATGTACCAAATGCTGAGAATCCCAAGGGCCATGCTSAGTGCAATACTGGTTTGCTATTTTGGTGCCAAACTTTCTAAACCTTTAGTGAYAGGTCRCATCAGCGACCAAGSAGTCTGATGACACCAAGCTGAAATMRGCACGTGTCCACACACCCACAAAAGGGACTGGTGCTGCACCTGAGATTTCCAYGTCAGGCCAGGACTGCCTACGGCACTCAACACACAATTTCAGACACACAGCTCTCATCACCCAGCAAGAAGCGCCCATACARTAAGTGCACCCTGTAGACACATCTCGTAAAAGGTGTAGGAATAGGAGAAGGAGCCCAGCGCCACCCAAGGTGTTTTACCTCGTGGAGAGTGAGATGCTTGCCATCCTTCCTTTTTGAGTCAAACCTGCCATATATTGCACTGTACTTCCTGATCTCTTCCTCTTTGTGAGGGTCATCGTCACTCATCTCAAAGATGTGACCAATCATCTTTGCCAGTTTCTTATTTGTTTTCAGTAACTCCTTGACTTCATTGGAGTCACTTTTGGGCAGGGAGGGAACCATCCGTTCTACACACTCGGCGACTGACAGGGCAGCAGCGGCATCCAGGGTCTCGCTGTTTTCCTTTGGTGAGGCCGGAGAGCCAAGGTCAGCCGGGGAAAGGCTGTGCTCACTCTCGGTGGTGTGGTGTCCTTGCCAGAGCCTCGGCTCGCTGCTGCCCTGCAGTGATAAGCTCCCCACCACATCGGACTTGCTGGTGCCCACGCTCTGCACGCACGTCGTGGCGGCGCATTTCGGGATCTTCAGGTGAGGCTCTCGGGTGCTGCTGTTCCTCTCGTAGCTGCTGCAGGATATCCCCAGCCASGCAGGAGACCCTTCTGGCAGCTTGTAGATTGGAATGCTGCTGACCGGTAAGGAGGTGAGAGGCTGGTTAAAAAGGCCAGGGTTTGTGACCCAGTCCCTCAAAGCCTTCTGCAGCCTTCGGACATGAAGGGGCTTGCTAGCCATGCCTACCAGAGCCATTATCTCCAAAAACTCCTCTTCACCTGCTTCACAGAGCTGCTGCACATCATCACCACCCTGCTGAATGAAGGCATCAAAGTAGAATAAGAGATTTGCTTTTTGTAGTATTCGATACAGCTGCAATTCTCCGAGGGTTCTGGGCAGAGCTGACGCCATCACGGATGACAGAACCTGCAAACAGTAAAAACAGAGAGAGGATAAGCACCAAAACACCAACACCCAGATGCACTGTCCCACCGCCCATCTTCCCGAAAGGCTGCCAACTCACAGGACTGGATTTCTTTCTCTCATTATAARAACACACACAGAAATGAAAAAGGGGCAAAAGTGCTATTTTTTGACTAGTTAACGGAAACATTTCTGAACAAAAACCAAATCAGCAGACAGTTGTGATGCACCTATAAAAACGATGATTCAAACACRAAGCCAGCTTGTTTTCAACATTCCCATTTCACGTTTTTCTCCCAAGAACGTCAGTCAATATCGCTCAAGGCTTCTACTCAATTTTCTTTTATATCTTAAGATCAAAATGATCACAAAACACTTTCTGAAGAATTACAGAGTACTTGATTCCCTTAAGAAAAAAGCTCATGGGTTTCAATTCGTCCTAATTGTCGCATCATTTTCCCCGCATAGAAGAGTGTAGAGGACTGCAAAAGCAAAACAAAGAAGTAAAGTGCTTCACAGAACCCCAGAGGATTTCTGAAGCTGGGTCAGCAAAAGGCTGTTTAAGAACCAAGTATTTTCTACAGTTTTACCGGTTTCACATAAAAAGGATCTAATGCCTCTGCTGATCTTGATTATGGCAGCAACAGCTGCAAACAAAGCAAAAATACTGATGGATTCCAACACATATCATTAAAAAACCCTAGTTTGAATTTACCTGCCCGTTTCACTAGCTAACAAGGCTGCCTGTCACTGACACTTGAGACGTGAAATACCACTCAGCAATACAGCAATTGTGCTTTAAGGCTCCCAAAAGAGAGGTCACAGCAGTGCTCAGCCCTTAGAGCAGCAGGAAAAAACATTTGCACAAGTTTCAACTTCATAAACCCCCTTATCCCGTTATACCGCAAATAACAAACTCCTCTGAGAATTCTAAGATCTCACACACACCTCTTCACTCTAYGGTGGCTTTCACAGCCACAAGCAGATAATTTCCAGTATTAAGCTAAACCACCAATCAATAAGGTCTAAAGGATGTAATTTATAATTGGTTGAGAAAGTAACAGAACTAAAACACTGAGCAGGTCTGCTAACATTGCTCCGGCTCTACGATCAYACTGCACTGGAAAAAACACACAGTAGTAACCTAAAAAGCAACACCTACAGAAASATTTGCACACACTAGGGGGAAAGTATTTTAATAATGTGCAACTCCCCTTCCTCCAAAACTGCAATGCAAGCAAATGCATGCACCATGGAGAATTGGGAAATTTGTTATAAAAAGTAAAACTCAGAGAGAAATGATTTCTACAGTATGTGCTTTTGTATATAGTAAAATATATGAAATAATGTAAATAAATGGTTTGGGTATTTTGGGGGCTTTTTTACAAAGCCCCTTTTTATCAGCCTTTTCTTTAGCAAGTCAAACATACAAATACAACAAGCAGAGTCCAACTTCTATTCTGAAGACACCTAAAAAACCAGGCTTTTGCTACAAAATTCTGATTCAACTCTACTAGAGAAAAATAAAATGAGGGGGTCAACAGAAACTTTCCAGAAACGTATGTGGCAGCCAACAGGATCAATCAATCTCTTCAGGAAGAGATGGAGTCTGGGGAAAAAAAAAAAAAATAAAAAAAGCCCCAAAACAAACAAAACCCCCAAACCACCAGCTGAACCTATCATTCCTTGTGTGCCAGTTATGTGTGAAGCAGAAGGRACAGCAACAGAAGTTTAGATACGAGCACCCACCTCAAGGAGTTGCTGGTAAGCTTCAGAACTAATAAACACACTTTGGAACTCAGGGTGAAACTGTAAACATTTAAGAGCTACATATTTTAGAAACACAGTTTAGCTTTCGGAAATAACAGTTAAGTGCAGAACCAATTAAGTACTGTCTACATGCAAAGAYAGAAGAGGCAACAAGAAAAATGAGTTAAAGGTAACCCTTTACTGGGCTCGTAACTCAGTATTTTGAAACCTGTCATTATTTCACAGAATTTCTGAGAAAAAATCCTCCATTCTTGACAAACTTTGYCAAGACAAAAAAGATTAACAGTTTATGGTTTAGTGGCATTTCAGTAAACTGCTCCTACCTTCCCATTTCGAATGATGCTGACTTTTCACCATCAATACCACAAATTAACTTATATAACTTTTAAAAGAAGGCCCACTTCCTCTGAAAGTCATTCATCTTAGCACAGAATCTACATAAATCTACATAAATGGACTTTGTGCAGKGAGCTARATTGAATCCTGGGAGGATGGTGGCAATGAAATTACACAGAGCCCAAGAGCTCCAGGCAAGCCACAGAACTGAACTCATTTTTCCAGCCCACAGGCTGGAAGAGCAGCAACAGTCCACGAGCAGCCTTCACCTAGAGGCTTCTAATCAACAAATCTCCTCATGACAGATAAAACTGGATTAATATGTACTATGGAGGCGTCACCAGCGAGTCCACGGTTCACACTGTGCTGAGATTTGCATTTAAAGCAAGACTAAAATCCCTTTGTTTCGTACTTTAGAGACCCACTCTGTTTTTCCAATTCAGTACAGTAACCCCTGAGAGGGCCAAGCAATTTTTCCATGTACGACTATTACCGATTTTTGCAGTGAAGATACTTTCAAGCACTCCTCCTTTTGACCTCTTTTCTCCTTGCATTAAACAGAATTCCTCCAGCACTCACCTCAACGCCATCCCAAGTATTTCTAAACTTTYACAAGGGGAAGTCTCCCTCCCCTTTCTGAGACGGCCTCTCCCACTGCTTCTCCAGACATGACCGGTCTGGCCCCCWGTCTGGCCCAGCTCACAGCCTACATAGCCCGGCAGGCAGGTGTGCTAGTCCACCTGGAGGAGTGAGATGRGGCTCAGGAAGAGGATAAACACCAAGCAAGGAGCAGCACGATCCCAGGGGACCGTTAGCCCAAAGGCCAGCCGGCTGTGCCGCTGCTGCTGCCGGCTCTGCTCACCCAGGCAGCCACGCAAAGCCTTAGCACACCCACTCACGTCTCAGCGCCCCACATCTCTCGGGTGACCTTTAAGCTTCATCTAAGAGACTGAAGTACTGCTTTCCACCACTGTTCTCATTCCTCAGTGCACTAGGGACCGTGCTTTTGGGACAAGGGTGAGCACAAGAAGAGGTGACACAATGAGACGTGAGGAGAGCTCACAGGCAGGACACTCATGTCCGCTCCTCACTGGGAAGAGCACCCGGGATAAGGCCCTGGGGCACCGTRTGTGATCCCTCTCTTCTGCAGCCTGCTCGGTAAGTCTTAGGCTGTCTAATCTGTGATCCCAAACCAAGCTGGTTCAGGAGTRACAGCCTGGTCATGCCCTCTGGCAAGCCCTAAGAAGCCAGCAAAACGATGTGCAGCCTCAGGAGCGAGCAGGTACATCTAACGCGTGGCCAGCTCCAAACCCTCTCCCCAGCAAGAGGCAGGAATGCAAAGCTGGCATGGGGAGATCTACAGGAATAAATGAACACAGCCATGGCACTTGAGCTGCCACTTCACCCCCTTCTCTGCTTGCTGTCCATACCAGTGAGAAGTGTCAGAAAACACAAGGAAGAGCAGCCATCTCTTACATTTTCACGTACAGAACAAAGAAGCCAGAAAACTCCTCAGAGCAGACAAAGCTGTTTAAAATACACRCAAGGCTGCATACTGTTATAGCCACAGGAGAGCCAGGAAATCACAAGTTAGATTTTCACTCAGCCTTTGCAACCCACAACCATGAATTCTGATTTTCCACATTACCTCATTCACATCCACAACCTATCACCCCACATGCCATGCCCTCCTCTCCAAACGCTGGCTGTCACCTTAGCTCTGACCACAAACACAACKCCTGGGAAAAAGGAACACAAAACCCACAGAGACACCACAGAGCACTCTTAAATATTTGTAAACAGCTGGTGCAGGAATCACAATCTTGCTCCCTCTACCAAGCCAGCGGGCAGAGGCACTAGCRGCCCCGCTGAGCATCTCTCAGCATGGGAAAACACCCGTTCCTTCCCGCTGTGCCTGTTCCGAGCTCAGAGCCTCACACTTCCCGGAGCTGGAAAGGAAGATCCACGGCTGAAGGAGGCAGGTGGTGGATGTGGGTGAAGCACCGGGAGAAGGAAAACTCAGGACTGTGGGATGTAGGCATGGGACACTGCTGGGCTTCACGACCAGCTTTCCTGCTTTTTTAAGGCTGCAGTGGAAGTAAAAGCAACCGAGTAACTCTAACYGATTTTTAGAGACTTTATTTCACGTGAATTCTAATTGAACTGTCACCAATTAAATTAGGAATACAAGGAGAAAGTGGGAAACATCACATCCCTGTATTTTAAGCAAAAGTGATTATTCCATAATGTATCTTGATCACTTTGGGCGTTTTGAAAAGTCTCTGAAGACAAACTGGATTTGGGTTTGAGAGCTGACTGCTTTGCATATTCATCACATTTCTGCAGCGTTTCCAAAGGACTTTTAGCAGGAGGAGAAAATTACATGTAGCAGCAGAAGAGAGACTTCACAAATTAAATAGTCTTGTCTAGCTCTGAGATGTGCCAAAATACAGCCGATGAGTGAGCTCCGCGTTTACGAACAGATCCGCAACTAATGAGAAACTTGAAACGTTGCAAAAACACCCTCGCGTTTAAGCACGGAACGAACGCACCAAATACCTCCAGGTTCTCGCCCGGCCAGAGCAGGGTCCCGGACCGCGGGATGGAGCCCGCGGCAAGGAAACCCACGCCGCGGGCACACACCAGGGGCTGCGGTCCCCACGCAAAGTTCAGGGCTCCGAGCACGGTGACAGGAACCTCCCCGGGGCAACTTCTCCGTCGGGGCTACCCCGCGGGGCGCGCCTGGCGTGCGAGCCGGGGAGGGGCACGGCCCCGCAGAGCCCGGGGGGCGGCCGGTGCCTCACGCCCCCGCCCGGGACCCCGCTGGAGCGGCCGCCGCCGGGGCGCCGCCTCCGCCCGTCCCGTCCCGTCCCGTTCCGTCCCGTCCGCGCCGCCCCTGCCCCGCGGCCCCTCCGCCCCGCGGCGCACACGGCGGGGACGCTTCTGCACTTTCCGCCCACTCCCCCGTCCCCCCCGCGCCGGATTTCTCCGGGAATCACCCACGCGCGACCCGCCCGCTCCTTCCGGCCGTGCCCCKCTCCCCCCGGCCGCCCCGCACGTACTCTGCAGCTGGCCGCCGCCGCCGCCGGCCGCCCGGGGCTCCCCTCGGTGCCGTCCCGGGGCCGCAGACTCAGCCCCGCCGAAGTTCCTGCCCGCGCCCCCCC